AGAAAGAAAGAGAGAAAGAAGTGTTTGGGTAATTCCTTCATGGAATAATGAGGTATGGGTTACTAAGGAATCACAGGAGTGGGACGGGTGACGTTATAAGGACAGGAAGAGAGACCTGAGCTACCATGCTTAGCTCCCTCAACATGTGATGTCCTGTGCTGTCTCAGGACTCTGCAGAGAGTCCCCACCAGCAAGAAGGCCCTCACCAGATGTGGCTGCCCAACCGTGGACTTCATAGCCTCCATAACTGTAAGACATAAACTTTCTTTCTTTATAAATTATCCAGTTTTAGGTATTCTCTCATAAGCCACAGAAAACAGACAGAGATTATCATGGATCATCCACATGGGCCCAGTGTAATCACAAAGGTTCATAACTGGAAGAGGTCATCATGAGAGTCAGCTTCAGAGTGATACAGCCTAAGACAGACAACCAACCACTGATGTATTGAAGGTGGAAGGGGGCCCTAATCAAAGGAATGTGGCCAGCTGGAGACAGCAAAGACATGGATTCTCCCCTGGAGCCCCGACGGCTGCTTCCACACAGCCCTGCCAACACCTTGATTTTAGCCCGGTAAGACCATTTTAGACTCTGACCTCCATAACTGTAAAATAATAAATTTGTGTTGTTTGAAGCTGCTAAGTTTGTGTAACTGTTTACAACAGCAATAGAAACTAATACATCATGCACATAAAGGAATTAAGATATAAAAGTAGCATTTCAAATAACTGGAAAAGGGTATAGTATTTGGTAACAGATAGACAATCAACTAGTTATCTGGCTAAAACACTAAACAGAATCAAATTTCTATGCCATGCCATTCACAAAAATAAAGTCCAGATGGATTAAAAATCTAAACAATATACATGCAAAAATACCGGAAGAAAATATGGGAGAATGTGTTTATGACCTTGGAATAGGGAAGGGGAAAGACATAACCAAAACATGAATAAATTTTACAACAGTACAATATAAAACACTTCTATACAAAGACACCATAAGCAAAATCAAAAGGCAAGCAAAAATGGCAGAAATATGTTTTAATCATATGTATATTATTTGAATTTTGTTGTTTTATTTTTCTCGACAGTGAATGTGAATTAGTTCATTAATTAAAAACAAAAAAGGCAAAAAGAGTTGGAAAGAGTCTCCTCTACCACCCTGTTTTCTTCCCAGGAATGAACTGGAATGAAAGGAAAAACTTTTTAAAACCAAAATCACTATGAGAACACAAGCCCGTGTTTTATTGAAGCAAAGAACAAATTATGATTTTGGAGGGCATTTCCTCATGCAGTCTTTCCCACATCCTCAAGCTCCTCTTTCTTGAAGACACCTGTGGAATGAGCTAAGGTCAGCCTGTGTTCATAGGAAGGTACTGCTGAAAAGCTAACCTATGTAGGGTCAGCTGAACATGTGGCAGAAGTGGCCAATTATCTCTCCCTTTCCCTCATCTTTCTGGGCACACAGCTAGACTACATTTCCCAGCATCCCTTTGCAGTTAGCTATGTGCACATGCCTGAGGTCTGGCCAATAGAATGTGGGCAAAGGTGCCACCTCTAGGCCTGACACATGAAAATCTCATGTACTTCATGGTCTGTTTTGCTGTCTTAATACAGATGAATATGCAAACTTGGAAGCTTTGAAGTTACAAAGCCATAAAATCGAAAGAACTTGGATTCTTGAATCACTGCCTAGAGAGTCACCCACTGATCAGAAACACCCCTATTGGGCTTTGTAAGAGCTAGAAAAAAAGTTGTATTTGAGCTCATATACATTTTTGAGCTTGCATCTGTTTTAGTAGCTAGTATTCCCTTAACTAACTCAGAAGCCAACCTGGCTTCTTTTGGCAAATTCCTTGGTCTGACACCTCCCCCAGCAGCTCAACTGAGGTAATCATTAAGCTAATGACTTCAACTGCAAATCCATCCTTCTCTTCTTGACTTTATGAGTCCCTGAGCTGGGACCCAGCAAACCACATTTCTGCTGTGCCTACTCATTTCCTGCTAAGGTCTGCCAATAGAGGGCAGTAAAGAGAGACTGCAAGGCTGGAAGAAGGAAGAAGGTGCCTCCTCCCTTCTGTCTGCTTCGTGTTCCAGTTCCTTGCTTCTCATTTCTGGAGGTGTCACCGGGCCACGTTCACCCTGGCAGCTGCATTTCATTCCAGTAGCAGCCATTTTTTTTTCCATCACCCAAAGTACCACACTCATTATCTTCCTCTGGGAGACCAGCATCAACTGGTAATAATTCCAACCCATTTCTTTCTTTCCCTGGCCCTAAGGATGGGACCACTTCCTTGCAGTTGCTACTCTGTGATGTCTTTTTTTCTTTTCTTTTCTTTTCTTTTCTTTTTTCTTTTTGAGATGGAGTCTCGGTCTTATCACCCAGGCTGAAGTGCAGTGGCACTATCTTGGGTCACTGCAACCTCCACCTCCTGGGTTCAAGCGATTCTCCCACCTCAGCCTCCTAAGTAGCTGGGATTACAGGCGTGTGCCACCACGCCTGGCTAGTTTTTTGCATTTTTGTAGAGGCAGGGTTTCACCATGTTGGCCAGGCTGGTCTCGAACTCCTGACCTCAAGTGATTTGCCCACCTTGGCCTCCCAAAGTGCTGGGATTACAAGCATGAGCCACCACACCCGGCCAACTCTGATGTCTTAGGGTTCCCTTTGCACATTCAATCCCTAGTTTACAAATCTTTCGGTTAAATTAACTCTGTTAGAAACCACACCAGATATTTTATCTCATAACTGGGTGCTGATTTATACACCAAAACCTCTGGAGCTAACTGGGGTTTCTCCATCATCCCAATGGTACTGATACCACAGTATGATTTCTGTCTTCCTCCGTCCAGCACCTGAGGCTTGCCTACCTTTTGCCACACTCAGACAAGAAGCAAATCACAAAACATGTCTCCCTGCCTCCTGCTGGCATTCAACAGACCTCACCTAGGGTTGCAAACTGGAGCTATGAAGATCCAGCAAAGTATGTTTTGTCCCCCATGCCCACAGTAGCATCACTGGGACAACCACACGTTGGAGTACCACCTCCACTCCAAGGAAGAGCAGAGGAGCCACAGAAACAAATTATCCACTGCTGCCCTTTGAAACCCTGCTTCGAAATGGACACCCAATTTACCCCCTTTCTGATCTAAATTCTACACCAGAGTAGGGAACACACTAGAAGCCCTAGAAGGAAGGGCTGCTGCGAGATTGGAAGCTCCTTAAAGACCAGGTTTTGTTCATATGTGTCCCCCATCCCAAGGCACAAATATGAACTTGCATCTGAAGCTGAATACCTCTTTAGACAACGCATGCTTGCATTTATTCTCTTTGCCTTTCGCATAGTAGATATTCAGTGAGCCTATCAGGATTGGTGTGGGATGGAATTAGATTGGGAGGAAGCTGCCAGTTGAAAAGTCGCTTTTTCTAAAAAGCCTTCCCCTATTCCCCTGGAGAGAGAGAGAGAGAGATGCTTTTTATTACCTTCTCTGTGTTTCCACAGCCCTTGGTGCTTCTATTTCATCCCTTGCCATGCCGAGCTGCAATTTATTTGTTTCCTTTCTGCCTTCCCAATATACCAAGAACCTGCCATATACAAAGTCACCATGTCTTTTTCACTGTTGTATCTCCAGGCCTGGTACCTGCAGGTATTCAAAGGACAAGTAAATTAATGAACAAATCCTAGCCTAATGGAGCAACCTTTCAACCAGAATGAATTATAGCTCTAAGTACATTAACCTTTAGAGACAAATAGATGAATAAGAAGCGTGGTATCTTAGCACTGTAAAGGGCATCAACTTCATCCTTTCAGTGTAGGAAAAAACCTTCCAAAGGATTCCAGATTTGAATCCTTGATTTAAATACTCGCTGAATTCAGAAGTTTATTGCCTTAGTAAAACAGTCCATTTCACTGTTAGACAGCTTTAATTACTCAAATGTTTTTCCCTCTAGCCAGCTTAAACCTTCCTTCTAATAATCTCTTTGTGGGCTCTAGTTGCAGCCTCCAGAGAAGACATTGCTAAAATACTTCTAATCCATAGCAGAGATTCTAGAAGATGCCATGGTCCTCCACCCCGAACTATTTCTGATCTGTTGCTTATGGCAAGTATCTTGTACATCACACATCCAGTGCATTTTGCTGCCTTTAGCTAGGATTATCAAATATCTATTCTAGTCCATTCTGAAGAATACCCACAAAAAAGAAATCCAACCTATTTCTCTATTTTTGGTCCTAGTGCTGAAACATCTTAGATCTCAGTTCTAACTTAAAGTCTTTCCTTTATTTTTTTTTAAGTCTCTCTCTTCTTTCAGTGAAGAAAGAGAACTTTTTGGCTCCTATCCACTCTGTAAAGAATAACTAATTCCTCTCTTTTTCTCCTCCCCCAAAACATGCCCTTGGCAACCCAGCCTTCTCTTTTATGAGCTGACTCATAGGTTCTGAGTGAAAAAAGCCCTTCCTTAAACACCCTGTACTGCCACGTGTGGATGAGGCTGCAGTATCCCAGTGACCAATAAAGCCAGGAAGCTGTGGCTCTGTGCACTATGCCAGCATGACCCAGGATACTTCATAAGTCCCTTATGCCCAAAACGTCACCACTTGGACAACCACGTGTGGAAGCACCACCTCCACTAGGGGCTGGAAGGACGTGAGAACCAGCAGGTCTCTCCTGGCAGACCTATTGTGGGCTCCAACCCTCCCACGCTGGCCAGCCCTGAAGAGCACCAGCCCCCATGCCATGAACTTAATTACTTTGCAAGAGGACAGTTTGTAGCTGGACTTCCTCTTTGTTCTCACAGAAAGCTGAGAGTGGGCACCAGAACAAAGGCGGGTTTTTGCAAAACACAGGCAGGAGAGAACCCATGCTGCAAATCTGGGTCTGGGTCCGTGTGTGGAAGGGATTGGGGAAGCACAAGGATGGGGCTCAGAAGGAACTGAATCCCTACCTGAGTGCTCCTGCAGCACCCTACCTGAGCTCCCATTAGACTCAGGCATAGCTGAACGGATTTATGCAAGCTTAGAGAAAAAAGTTTCCTGAGGGCTTCTGTCTTCCATCCCCCTGATTTTAGAAGGTCATTTAAAAAATAAAAAATAAAAAATAAAAGTATCTTTTTTTCTATTTTTTGAAAATGTAGTAACTTGAAAGGGGTGTGAAATTTGCATTGCTCACCCGATCAAGGGCTTTAACCCTCATTATTAGAATGTTCTTCATATCTAGCCTAAATTCCTCAAGCTACTTCATAAGTCTATGGAGACTCACAAATGGTTATTGGGACATCCTTTAATGTGACAGATCAGGATTGCTGGTCTTCTCACTCCTTTGGCTCCGCCTCCTTACCTATCTGAGAAGAAATTCCTTTGGCATATGAACTCTATGAGGTAATGTTGAAAGGTCACCAGTATCAGCAAGGGAAAGGCTTACATGTGGAATCTGTGCGCCACACTGAGAAACCTGAACTAGCACTGCCTGCTTCTACAGAGGACTGGAGGGCTCCTCTGACTCACAGTGGCCAGGACGGGTGGGGAGAGAGTCAGAGAGAGGGCCCCAGAGTATGGAAGAGAAGAGAAAAGGAGACAAGTGCAAGGAGGGACTGCTCGGTGCCTATCCAAGCCTGGCAATCTCTGGACTGAAAGATAATTCTGCAGGTAATATAATCTTTGTCACTACCCTCCCACACCTTGGCTCTGTGTGTTTGCAGTTACATACAATTCTTTACTTCCTGTAATGGCCCCAGCTGTTCTCTCTTCTTCAGGGCATGATGTGCATACGTGTGGGTCATGTGTAGAACAATGACCTTTCCTGTATGTCAAGGTCAAATCCAAATCATCCTTTGGTTTTCTTTCTCCAGAATGGTTCTCTATTCTTTGCCTTTCCTCCCAAAAGTTTTAAAGAAGGAGAAGGAGAGGAAACTCATGAATTGAATGTCTAGCTTGAACTAGGAAATGAGAGAAAGCCTTACGTAAATGTTTTTGTTTTGTCCTCTTAGCTGCTCTCAAAAGTAGATGAAATTTTATCACCAGAGAGTTAACAACTTTTCTCAAATGAGGAAAGTGAGGAAAGTGAGGCTGGGAAAATAAAACGAATGGCCCAGGGTCACAGAGCTGGCAAGTGGTCATTGTCAGATTAATCCCCGGATCTGTCAGACTCCAAAGACACGGCCTTCCTGGTGCCTCCACTAGCTTTGAGTCTCCTCTACCAATCCTGACCTGCTCCTATGTCCCTCATAGTCCTTTAGCTCCACCATGGATCTCAGTACCTCACTTGGATCAGAGCATACAGAGAAAACAGCTTCATGTAGCCAACATGGCTCAAGATAACCCCTAGCTCTGGGACCAGACTTATGCACGAGACTGAAGGAAGATGCCAGGAGAAGATAAGGCATCTCAATAGGAACTTTAGCCATAGCCCCTGAGGCTCAAGGATGAGGAAGGGGCAGCATCTCCTGTGATAGTTGATCTTCTCTGGAAATCACTGTGTGTGGTGCCCATGGCCCAACCTCCATGATTACCGTAGTGCATCTGGAAGATACATTTCCCAAATGTAGTGCATTCCCAAATCTCTGTTTTCCTCTTTAAAGCATAACTGTGACTCCTAGACAAATCTCTGGCTATATGTAATGCTATGAAGACAATAACCAGGCCATAGAATCACAGACTATCAAAGCTGGACAGGATCTCAGAGTTCATCCGGCCAAACCTCCTTATTTCAGCCCTGGGAATTAATAACTCAGAGAGGAAAAGTCTCCCACAACTTAGACTGTGGCAGAAAGTGAGCTCAATCCCAAGCGTCCCAGATCAAGCGACCTAGTTAGGTTTCCTTCCAGCTCTTGGGTGCCTTGGTAGCAGTAGACATAGTGGTCACAGGAAAACAGGACCAAACTCAAGCGCTTTCTACTATCTGGGAAAGAAGTCCTGGCTTTCTCCAAACATTGCTAGGCTTCCTCCCATGCCAGTGTCATCTCTCCCCTGGGACCCAGCCAGAGAACATTTCTGCTCCCTTCCTGATCTCCAATGTCACAAAAACACAGCCTCAGCTTGTATTCTTCCCCACTGTTACTACACTGTGTGGGTCAAAGGAGGCAGAAAGAAGACTGCACTGGAGTAAGGCACTCAAAATGGTAGGGTGGTGAGCTCAAGGACAGAGTTAGAGCTCACAGAGTGAGATGCAGGAGGCCAAGGTCTCTATGCAGAGCTTTGGGAAGTTTAATAACCATGGAGGGAACTCCACCAAACTACAGGGAGTCTATTCCTCTATTATCACAGAGTTCTTTGACCCTAATTCATGGGGCCCCTTTTTCAAGACACAGGACTCCCTTGACAGACTCTGACTTCAGATTTGTGTTTGTCTGTTGTTAGTATCAAGAAGAAAAGAACTGGAAGCTTAGCTGAAAAGAGGGTTTTGTTTTTATTAAAAAAACAAAAAAAAAAACAAAAAAACTCACCTGGGGAGGGCCCAGGCCACTTTATCAGGCCACAGTTTGCCTAGGAGACCCTCCTGGTATCCTGACACACAAGAGTCCCCTCCTAGCCCACAGAGCAGGCTGGTCCTCCGTGTCCTGGGGTGTGTGAGCTTCCTCCAAGTTTGCCTGCCGCCCACTGATTTCCACGTCAGGTTACAAAACAGCAGCCAGCTCACGGTTTCCCTAAACATGCTCAAATATTATCTTACCATGGAGGGGGTTATCTGACACAAAGATCTTGCCACATAGCTCAGAAAAATAGCCTGACAGCCACAAAAAGGTAAATAGAGACATCAAACTAACGCCAGCAGGGCCAGCAGCAACACAGCCCTTGGCCTGGAAGTTCTAGGATAGTTCTCAACAGTTCTCAAATGTAAACACTTCTCTTCCTCCTGTTTCCCCCTCTTCTCCCTCTCTGTTTTCTTTCCTAAGGATTAAGAGATTTCATTTTCATTGTTCCATAGATGCAAAAGGAGGTCTTTCTGAGCCAATGCCAAGTACTGCGTGTTCCTTACGGTTTGGAAATCACAAGAAACACTGTGTCCCCTCCCTGCCAACCATCCCACGCTGTACCCCAACCTTTGGAGTCCTCCTATCAGAGTCCCCTGAAGGCTGCTGCAGAAGCAGAGTCTTTTTCCAGCCCGCCGACCATCTGGAAGCCAGAGCAGGCCAGTGGATATGTTCCCTTTCTATTTGAGATAAGGGATGAGCGCTTATGAGTTGGGTGATAGAGGGAATGAACAGACAGGGTTTCCTCTAAGACCTCTTTCAAAGCCCCCATGTCTCCACATGCCTTTGAGGCAGGGTTGGGATCTTGACTACCTGAGTGGGGGCTAAGGGTGACCCCAGGCATTATGCAGCCTCTCTTCTCTCTTGGGCTAGCTGGCCCCTACTAAGTAAGCTTCTGGAGGAAGCAAAGGTAGATGTCAAGAGCTCGGGCATAGCCAGGAAGAGAGAGCACGGTCTTACGGAGGTCTGGTTATTCTCCCTTTGCCCCAGAGTTCGTTTCAGATACATTTTCTCCTCTGTTCTATGCCCTGGGAGGATGATCCCTGGAAACTACTTCTCCCATTGCCTTCTGGCTCCAGCTGGATTCAACCAATGGGACTCTCCAGGAGGTGACCGGAGAGCAGCAGAAGAGAGAAGCCCCTTCTTGTTGTGCTGCATTTTTGGCAGCAGCCAT